GGGGACGGTCGAAGCGCTCGCGGCGTCACAAAGGCAAGCCGGCACGCTCTCGTTTCCGCCGAAGCTCACGGCTGTGCGGGTGTACCTCATCGGCGGCCCTCGCGCCAGGGGGAGGCGCCCAGCGCCACCCCCCTTCCCTGCCCTCCCTACTCGGGTCTCCCCTCCGCTGCCCCAAAAGGCCGCAGCGTCGCGGCGGCTCCGGCGCCGCAAAGCGTCCTGGGAGAGCCGGATCGCGCCGGAAGGACGCGCAGGCGCGGCGGCGGCGAGATTATAAAAGGGAAGAAGCCGGCGGCGGGCGGAAGTGGGCGGTCCAGCTTCTTCGGGCGCTGTTGTTTGGTGTTTGGGCCTCACGAGGGGCGTTCTGTGGAAGGGCGCCGCTGCAGGCCGCAGTGACAGGGCCGCTTGCCCCCTCGCAGCCCGCCTCTTTCCCGGTGCAGCGTCTCCTCTCGGCCTCCGAGTCGTACAGGCCCAACATGGCGCAGGAGGTGTCGGAGTACCTGAGCCAGAACCCGCGAGTGGCCGCCTGGGTGGAGGCGCTGCGCTGCGAGGGTGAGACCGACAAACACTGGCGCCACCGCCGGGAGTTTTTGCTCCGCAACGCCGGGGACCTGGCCCCCACTGCCGGCTCTTCCGCTAACGCGGAGGAAGCTGCTGACGCCGAGAGCAGGATCCGCAGCCGGCAGCTGCAGCAGCTCGTCTCCTTTTCCATGGCTTGGGCCAACCACGTCTTCCTCGGGTGCCGGTGAGTGAGGAAGCGTCCCTAACCAGCCCTCCCTGTTTTGTCTGACGCCCCCGAACTGGGGCCGGTAGCCCAAGGCGGGACCGGCCTCGGTGGGGAAGGGAAGTTGTGAAGCGCGGGAAGCCACAGGACCGGCTGCCCTCTAAGGGTGAGAAGGGCGTCTTTGTGAGAAGCTGACATGATCAGCAGCAGGTCCGTTGGTGTACCCGTTGTGTGGGGGGCTGCTGGTGAAGTTCTTGGCGTTAGGCTGAAAACGCTTTTACGGATGGATACTAGATTTAAACGTTAGTAAGGAGGGACCCCGCCTTCCAGATCCGGGGCCATTTGTTGATGCGGTACCAGGAAACAAAGTTCTTGGCTGTTCAAATACTTTTCTTGATTGCAACCAGGAAATGCGGTTCCTGTGGCCTGTTATTGTACACTACAAGTAATAACTTAGAAAAAAAACACTCCTTAAAAGTGTCTTTTCCTTTTTTTTCAGGTACCCTCAAAAAGTTATGGATAAAATACTTAGTATGGCTGAAGGCATCAAAGTGACAGATGCTCCAATCCATACAACAAGAGACGAACTGGTTGCCAAGGTGAAGAAAAGAGGGATATCGAGTAGCAATGGTTAGCAGATCATAGATGTGAACATACATAGGAGTTTAGAACATAAGTTTGATATAATTAGGAATTGCCGTTATTACTAATTTTTTAACTAGCCAGAATTTGTATGTTATTAATCAAGTTGTAATGTTAAACCTAAACTATACCATGTCTATGTGTTTTAGGTTCTGAATTTGATAGTTTCCTTTGCTTTTGATTTTGAAGTGTCCAGTATTGTCTGATGCTGTTAATTTTTTAATATTAGAAATTAATGATATTATTAAACACTGTTTTAAGTAATTAATGAAGTTATTTTACACTTTTTAAAGAAACCATTAGTTCTGAAATATTTTCGGTTTGTGCTTTTATATTAACGAGTATCCGTCTTGTTAGCTGAAATGTATGAGGTATTCTTAGTCATATATCTTATGTTTTCCTTCTTTCTAGAAGGGGTAGAAGAGCAATCCAAAAAACGAGTCGTAGAAGGAAAAAACAGCTCTGCAGTTGAGCAAGATCATGCAAAAATTCCTGCCAAAACAGAACGTGCATCAGCTCAGCAGGAAAATAGTTCAGCGAGTACGGGGTCATCCACCAAGTCAGAGAGTAGTGGGAGCTCAGCTCGGAGTTCTGGCATCTCCAGTCAGAACAGCTCTACAAGTGATGGAGTTCAACCTGTTTCCAGCCAAAGTAGCAGCAGCATTTCCTCTCAGGTAAAAGGAGCAGGATCTGGAAAGCCTTCTGATTTAGAAGCTTCAGATAAACATGGTTCAGCAGCCTTTGTTCCTTCCTTGTTGAAATCTAGTGTTAATAGTCATGTGACCCAGTCCACTGATTACATGCAACAAAGTGGATCACCTAAAAAGAGTACTTTGGAAGGCTCTTCAATCTCAGCTTCTCAAAGCAGCTCAGAGATTGAGGTGCCCTTATTGGGTTCCTCAGGAAGCTCAGAAGTAGAGTTGCCATTATTGTCTTCCAAACCTAGTTCAGAGACAGCTTCCAGTGGGTTAACGTCCAAAACCAGTTCAGAGGCAAGTGTTTCATCATCAGTTTCTAAAAACAGTTCCTCATCAGGCACATCATTACTAACTGCCAAGAGCAGCTCCTCAACAAATACATCACTGCTAACTTCCAAAAGCACTTCCCAGGTAGCTGCGTCACTGTTAGCTTCCAAGAGCAGCTCCCAGACCAGTGGATCTCTGATTTCCAAAAGCACTTCCTTAGCAAGTGTGTCTCAGCTAGCTTCTAAGAGTAGTTCTCAGACTAGCACCTCACAGTTGCCTTCTAAAAGTACTTCACAGTCAAGTGAGAGCTCTGTCAAATTCTCTTGTTGCAAGTTAACCAATGAAGATGTGAAACAGAAGCAACCTTTCTTCAATAGACTTTATAAAACGGTGGCATGGAAGTTGGTAGCTGTTGGTGGCTTTAGTCCCAATGTGAATCATGGAGAGCTCCTAAACGCAGCTATTGAGGCTCTGAAAGCAACATTGGATGTGTTTTTTGTCCCACTAAAAGAACTGGCAGATCTGCCTCAAAATAAGAGCTCTCAAGAAAGTATTGTTTGTGAATTGAGGTGCAAGTCTGTGTATTTGGGCACTGGCTGTGGAAAAAGCAAAGAAAATGCAAAAGCAGTTGCATCAAGAGAAGCATTGAAATTATTTCTTAAGAAAAAGGTGGTGGTAAAAATATGTAAAAGGAAATACAGAGGCAGTGAAATAGAAGATCTAGTACTCCTTGATGAAGAATCAAGGCCTGTAAATTTACCTCCAGCATTAAAACATCCTCAAGAATTACTATAGTATGTGCAAAATACCACTAAGTAAGTACAGTATCTGGTATTTGAAGAGAAGAACTGGCTTTTGTACACTATAAAACACAGGCTTTCACAAATTTTGTATTGCTTTTTTCCAATTTTGCAGAAAATTTACATTCTAGTTCTCTTCACACAGTAGAAGTTGTAAATAATTTATGAATGACAGTGCACATTAAAAGGTATGCATTAACAGCATACCAGTATGCTGTTTTATTTGCTGAAAAAATACTGTCTTCTATTTTTAATGATACATTAGGTACGATGTGTAGTTCTGTAGTCTTAAAATTTTTGTACTACTTTCAATTTGGTGAAAATGTATTAAGTTGTCTACCATGCTTTTTTCCTAGTTGAATAAACCACATCAAAGAAAAGGGGACCACAGTATTTGAATGTCTGAAAGTCTGTGAAACTTAAGGTTTTAAGAATGTTGCCCATAATGTTGAACATGTCTGTTAAAGAATAAAAGAAAAAATAGTTGCCTCAGACTATTTTTATGAGAAGTTGTAAGCATTTTATAGATATAAAACAGTATAAAGTACTTATTGTTATTTTATTCTGGAATTGTTTAAAATTCACCATGATTTTGACCGCTGCAGATTCTTTAAGCGGGTTAATTTATGTTTGGAGGTAAAATACAATTTACACTTTTTCTTAAAGACATAAATGTGAGTTTCTATATTAAGCTTATTTTGTGACTACTATTAACAGATTGATTTGTTTCGATATTAAATGCTTTAAGCTATTTTACCTTTTCAAGAAGTTGTGTTTTTTTTCTCGTTAAGTCAGAACCAATTCCTACAAATAGGTTTCCCGGTGCTAGTCATTGTATATTACAACCAGGTAATTTTTCATAGTGACATATAACTTTTTATGGTTAGGGAAGTTAAAATTTTCAAATCTAGAACTAGATTTTTGTTTTTACAAATCCCACAGAATAGTGGGAAGAATAGAGAACCATGTGCAGCTCTTTAATGAGCCTGTTCAGTTGAATTACATTTGTTAGTAAAGAAATGGAATTTTGTTTCTGTGGCTTAGGTAATTCAGACTGTATTATTTTATTGTGGCATATTGTTTATTTTCCTTCAAACTTCAGCCAAGAATGTTTTATCTTTGTGGCCTGGCTTTCTAGATGGCTGTTTTTAGTTGCTGCACATTGAGTAGTAACAATGTTAATGTACAGAGAAAAATCAAGAAATCACCTTTAATGGGCCAGTTGTATTGGAACAGGAAAATTGAACATAAGGAGCACAATTTAAATATGTAGAAGTTATTCCTACTTTATATTCTAGGAATAGATAAGGATACTTTGGTTCCCTATGCTTGAATTGGAACAATCAGGGACATTTTTATTTTACCAAATAACCTTTAAAAATGTTTCGTTTCTGAAGATGTTTAATTGGATATCAAAACTGAAATCCATATTCTGCAAATGGGTTGCCTTTATATGTTGTGGGAAGCAGTAACATGAATGTATTGTGAAAGTACTTTTAATTACCTCACTTTCCTCAGTCTTGGAATGTGTGTTTTGTAGGATAGTCATTACCAGAAAAGTGGGCCAAAAATTACAAGGAATAAATTTCCATAATATATTTAATTAGGTGGTTTGGAAATTTCCTAAATTGGTTTATTTCAAGTTAATATTTGATGTGGAGGAAATCAGTGTAAAAACAAACATTCCATTTGTAAACATCTATTTGTTATTGCTAAAAACAAAAATACTCTTAGTTAACCAAAATTTTTAAATGTCTGATATAGGAGAAATGCATATTTTACAGTTCCTCGGGATAGTGTAGTGCAGAAAGAAACATAAGCTTTGGAATTTATTATTGACATAGAATCTTGGCTCTGCCACTTACTAGACATGTAACCTCTGGGAATTTAACCTTTTAAAATCTTACCTCATCTATAAAATGGGACTAATAGCTGCCTCATAGAGCTACGAAGATTAAATGAGAAGATAAGTTTAAAGTGCCCATCACAGGGCCGGCCCGTGGCTCACTTGGGAGAGTGGTGCTGACGACACCAAGGCCAAGGGTTTGGATCCTTGTGTAGGGATAGCCGGTTAGCTCCCTTGGGAGAGCATGGTGATGACAATACCAAGTTGAGGGTTAAGATCCCCTTACCAATCTTTTTTTTTTTAAAGTGCCCATCACAGGGCCGGCCCGTGGCTCACTTGGGAGAGTGGTGCTGATGACACCAAGGCCAAGGGTTTGGATCCTTGTGTAGGGATAGCCGGTTAGCTCCCTTGGGAGAGCATGGTGATGACAATACCAAGTTGAGGGTTAAGATCCCCTTACCAATCTTTTTTTTTTTAAAGTGCCCATCACAATGCAGGTATACCATGGTTTACTAATTATATAGTTATATGTATTCCCATTTCCTCATGATCTTATGAGTAGCTATTTTCATTTGGCCTGTTTTTCAGATGAAGCTGAAACAGGTAAAGTAATTTGGTCAGAGGTCAAGCCTATAGCTGATTCCAGAACCCAAGCTCTTATTTGGATTGTTTATTATCATTGTCACCTCTATATGCTAAAATCCCCTTCAGAATGTGGTTTTCTACCAGTTTTATTAAATGACCATAACATACTTCCAAAGCTTCATCGAAATGAGTCACTTCAGAAGCTCTTCTGTTTGTTATTAATGCTTGTACACGGTACTTGCAAGTCTTTAAAATATTCTCAGTGAATCATCCCTTATGGGTGCAGTTGGTTTGTAAAAAGACAAAAAGAAAAAAAAAAAAACCTGCCTAGAATACTTTGCAATCAAATTTAGTGAATAAAGTAGGTTATCCAGATAGGAAATAATGATTTTTTTAAATAATGAGGTGAGACAGTAATATCCTGAAACTGATTTTTTTTTTTTAAACGATAAAGTTAGAAAGTTAACTTTGAAGAATAGTACTATAATGAATTTTTGACTGAAACTCTTGGGGCCTGATTCTGCTGCCATCCTAGGCTAATTGTTAATAAGAACGTGTAAGTCCAAGGCCTTTGATATGTATTGTCAAAAGTCTGCTCCATTTTAAATTATGTATGAAAGAGCTGTTGTTTTCCATGCCAAGTGCAGCTTTGCTTGGTACGAATTTCTCCTCGCTATTTGGATGCTTGAGTAACTTCAGTGAGAAGGTAACTGAAGCAAGCAGCAACTGGAAATGAGGTCAGTCCCACAGGTATAGTGTTAGTACTGTAATTTAAGGGGTAATTTGTGGGCTTTGTCCTCAAAAATTGTACTAAAGTCCTATATTGACCCACTTTCTAGACTGGCAAATCTATGGTTATCAATTTCTGCATGATTTTCAAAAACTTTCCTGTGATTATAAAAGAAATTACTTCATTTTCTACCATTTGAACAAAAATAGATAAATGCAAGGGTTGTTATGCCTGTTATTTTCCAACTATTCCTCCCCAATAAATATATTAATAGATTGTTCACTTTTCCTTGGCATTCCTGAGCACAGCTTGGGTGCTATCCAGCTAGAACCATTCCTTTTTCCCTTTCTGATTTCCAGCTTCAATATCTCTCTACTTTTCTGCTTCCTTCCTTTAAAAAAAAAATATATATATATATATTAAAAATACAGAAAGAAGATCATTATCTAAAAATGAATATTAATTTTTAAAGTTCTCTTTTTCTGTTCCTTTGCTATTTATCCAGTGAGAAGAAATAGTGTAGTTAGTGGACAAGACCCCAAACTAAATTGGCCTTAACTTGAAAGAAAAAAAAAGTAATACTAAACATAAAGGTATAGCTGTAGGACGTTATTTTTAGTAAAAATTAGAGGTTTCATATGCCAGTACTTAACAATCAGAAATATTCTTTGTGATTTTGAAACTGTAGAGTAGAATCAGAATCCTTGGAAGTCACCAGGAAGCAAACAAACTAAATAATATAAAAAACAATCTCCTGAACTATAAAACTACTGGTATGAGCCAATCTTGATTTCCATTCTAACAGTGTTAAGACGGTGGGAAATTCAATTATTTGAATTGAATTTCAAGTATTTGAAAGGTGGGGGTTTTAAGAGGTGATTAGATTGTGAGGACTGTGCCCTTGGTTGCCAGCCAGAAGAAGGCCTTCACCAGATGGGCCTCCTGGACCATGGACTTCCCAGCCCCTGAAACTAAGAAATAAATTTCATTCCTTTATAAATTACCCAGTTTCAGGTATTCTATTTTAAGCAACAGAAATAGACTAATACAACTACCATTATATCAAAGTGGGACAATTATATATAACGTGTATAACTTGAAATGAAAAGGAATGTAAGAACATGCACAAAAAGGTGTACTGTCAGGGTAAGAATCACTTAGTGTTTTCCTTATACTGTTTTCAATGCAAATCAATTTACCAGGGCTTGGACACTTTGAAATGATAAAACTTGAATTCTGAATATGTGATCAGTGGTTTTCAAGCTTTATTTTAGTCATATTTCTTCAAAGAAAAAGTGGCATTGGGTAGTAAAACATGAACAGAACTACGTTGGTCAAAGGGGGATGGCTATACCCCACAACTGAATTCCCTCTACCTTTCATTCTCAATTTCTGAGGCACCTCCTTGGACTATGAGCGGAAGGGGATTTAGCAACCATGAAGCCCAGTATCAATAGCCAGCTTCCTTCTGCAACAGGTATTAGAGTGGATGTAGGCAGAAGCTGCCACTTCACAAAATGGAACTAATCTGTTTTTAAGTAATAAGCCATATTTGAATTTGTAGTTGGTGGGGACTCAGTTCAGGCTTAAGAGACCATTACATAAGTTAACATTTATATAACACTAAGAAATATCTGCCTTTTATTTCTTACCTTCTTTACTGTGACGTACAATTGCAGAAGTCTATAAAGTCCATACACATAAAGTCCAATAATTATTCATTGAATGCCCATATAACAATTACCTAGGTCAAAAAATAAAACTATTAGCAGAGATTCAAAGCCAGTGTTCTTATAGAAGACTAAATGATGGCTTGGTTCTAATTTGGGGCACTAAATGTGAATGCCAATGAGATATGCTTTCCCATGATAAAGGTTTCCTATATTCCAGAAAATAGTAAGTGTAATCACACTTTGAGGAAAATATGAGAAATTTTGTATTTAACTGCTTAAATTAGGAAGCTTCTAAACTCATAAACTTTAAGTGAAACTGCTGAAATATCTGAAATAATCATTGGAAAGTATTTTCTAGACATTCTATTTGTAGAAAGCAAAGGGACAATTTACAGAGATAAAGATGTAATCAGTGATGTAGTGAATGTTGACACAAATATCTTATGAATCCTGTCTTATTACTCTTCATCATTTGCATATTATTGAATAATTTTCTATACGTACTAGCTAAGCAAAAAAAAAATTATTCTCATGGCATAAAAGTTAACAGTTCTAGGGAAGCATCTCTAGTTTATCTCAGCTTTGTGCACTCGTGGATGATACTAACGAAGTTATGTCACATGCTCAACAACCTGCAATTTGGAAACCAATGTGGGGTAGAAGTGTGTGTACCTTTCTGTCCTTATTTTTTCATTTCAAAATAATATTAATGCAGTTAACAAGACACATATGATATGGGTAAAATAAGGATACTATTTTGAAAATATTCATTTCTTTCCCCTGTAATTCACATTCTCTAACAGTCATTCTGCCATTATGGCTAATATAGGGAAAGAGAAGGATAAAGTAACTTTAGCAGAGTCCATATCAGGGAGAGCAAGAAAGTGAAAATCCACCTATACTATTTTGAAAATATTCATTTCTTTCCCCT